GAGTCCAGGTGGAGAGGTGACCAGGGAAAGGAGGAGAAGAAAGTGCAGGCAGAAAAAGAGAGATTCTGCAGTCAAAGTGGGTCCCTGCAACGACTCCTTGACTAGAATATTTATCCTTCTCTTATTCCCCCCCCCCCCCCACCCCGCACACACTGGGCCATGATGTCCAACTTTCTGGCTCCCTCATTCAAGAAAACAGGGCTGCATTCGGCCTGGACTCACCCAAGAGTTTCAAGGGTACCACCGAAGCCTGAAGCTCCTGTACCTCTGCGCTGAGGGTGATGATGGTCGCAAGGAGGAGGAAGCCCACCAACTTCATGGTGCTGTTGGAAGTCTGTGGTATAAATGCAGCAGCAGAGCTGAGTGAGAACAGCTGAAAAGTATTCCCTTCTGCCCACTGAGCTGAAATGCTAGGCTAAGGGTGGGACTAAGGACTGTGGGAGCCTAAGCCCTGCCCAGACTGATAGTTCTTCAGAACACACACCGTGTGCACCCTGGGTCATGCCACGTTGTTACCTAAGCAAGTCTCTGAGCCAACAGGACATCCTCCTCTGATTGACAAATAAAACTCCTAAACCAGGAAAGACATGAGTGACTGAGAAAGAGGGGGCGGGGGGAAGGTGGGCACATAACTTTTATTATGTACTTTCATTCACAAATTCATTTTTTAACACAATTACCAAATGTCTTCTCTGGGCTGAGCACAGGCTAGGAATGAGGAATATATCCTTATGGAAATTACAACCTAGGAACTGGGTGCTAGCTAGTGAGGGTATAGTCCATTCTTCCCTGTCTCCTCTCTATGTTCTGAGCCCTCGAGCCTCTGAGATTGATGGCAGAGAGAGGCGGTAAAAGAGCAGGCAGGGGCGGTCCTAAGTCAGCTGCAAGTGGTAAGGAGGTGACCTTAGTCTCCTTCTGGTTTGGCCTGGTTCTCTCCACTGCTGGGTACCTAGGCAGGTGTGGTATCTTTGCCCATTTGATATTTGTAATTTTCCTAGCATAGACGTCCACCTTATCTTGTCTATCTTTATTTCTGACAACCCAAACTCCCGATGTTAAACTCTTCCAGGATGTCTGTCATCAGGAGGGGGGTGGGGCTGCAGTAACCAATCAGTTGGGGGGTGAGCTTTCACACACTCCCTTCTTATAGGCACTCCTAATCTAGATGAGTGATTTTCTGAAGCACACTTCATTTTGGGGGGAAATACGCCCCCTTTCTTTCCCAATGGCAGTGGGGATGGGTGGGAGGCATGGATAACTTTTGGCCATGAACACTGTGTCCCATAAAATGTCTTTTTAAAAATATATATATATTTTATTGATTTTTTTACAGAGAGGAAGGGAGAGGGATAGAAAGTTAGAAACATCAATCAGCTGCCTCCTGCACACCTCCTACTGGGGATGTGCCCACAGCCAAGGTACATGCCCTTGACCGGAATCGAACCTGGGACCTTTCAGTCTGCAGGCCAATGTTCTCTCCACTGAGACAAACCGGTTAGGGCCCATAAAATGCCTTAATGGGAGCCAAGGATGACTGGGCTGATTAGGAATGGCAGGACCAGTTTGCAGCCTCTGAATAAGGCCCTGCGGTGACAGTTGAGAGAGCATTATGCTAAGTGAAATAAGCCAGTCAGAGAAAGATAAATATCACATGATCTCACTCATTTGTGGAATATAAGGAACAACATAAACTGATAAACAAAAACAGATCCAGAGACAGAGAAGCATCGATCAGACCGTCAAACCTCAGAGGGAAGGTAGGGGAGGGTGGGGGGAAGGGGGAGAGATCAACCAAAGCACTTATATGCAAGCATATAGGCCTAACCAATGGACACAGACAACAGGGGGGTGAGGGCATGATTGGGGGAATAGGGGGTAATGTGGGGGTAAGGATACATATGTAATAACTTAATCAATAAAGAAATTTTAAAAATAATTTTATTGATTTCAGAAAGGAAGGAAGAGGGAGGTAGAAACATTAATTATGAGAGAGTCATTGACCAGCTGCCTCCTGCATGCCCCTCATTGGGGACCAAGCCTCCAGCCCAGGTACATGCCTTTGACTGGAATGAACCCAGGACCCTCCAGTTCACAGACCGATGCTCTATCTCCTGAGCCAAACCAGCTAGGGCTTGGCTTCTCTTTAGAATGTGGAGTACTTGATGTTTCACCAGGGGACCTGGATCCAAATTCTGGGGCTGCAGGAAGAAACCCTTCCAATTATGCTTCATTTGTCCCAGTTTCTGAAATGCCACAAGTTGGAGGTCCTTTGGGCAAAATATTGACCTCATAAATTGCTAGTACCCTTAGGTGGGTTCAGGGGTACAGTCAGTTTTATGATGGGTGGTCAAGAGGCCACATAGGCTGTACATGGGAGAGGCAGCCAGCCCAGAGGTGATGAAGAGCTTTGACTGATTGAAAAATGCCTACCAAAAATATGTAATTATTCATTTTTACAAATATGGGTGGGCAGGGGAATCCTAAAGGGTTCCGAGCAAACTTTCCTTTAAAGCTTATAAAGCCCATTGCAGATGACGGTGTGGAAAGAGAAAAGACCCAGTCCATGCCCTTCTGCTCCACACTCCCTGTCCTGCTGTTAAATATGAAACATAGATAATCCATACGTGTCTTTCTATTGAGACTGTAACACCTGACCAGGAGAGCCCTACCAGTGAACATATTCCCTCTTTGGGAGAGAAGGCCAGCATGGTACAGGGCATGGAGCATTTACCTAAAAGCCAAACAGACATGGAGGAGAAGACTGGCTCCTCTACTCATTAAGAGTGTTGGGCTTGGCTAGTTTTGCTCAGTGGTTGAGCATTGATCTATGAACCAGGAGGTCATGGTTTGATTCCAGTAGGGGCACATGCCCAGGTTGTGGGCTCAGTCCCCAGTGGGGGGCATGCGGGAGGCAGTCAATCAATGGTTCTCTCTCATCATTGATGTTTCTATCTCTCTCTCCCTCTGTACTCTTCTTTCTGAAACCAAAAAAAAAAAAATTTTTTTTTAAAAAAGGAGTGTAACATTGGGCAAGTCATTTAGCTACTTGGACACTCTGTCTCTTAATCTGTAAAATTTATAAACAATTCTGCTACTGAGATGATATTATAGAGCTGTGGTGAGTGTAAAGTGAGATACTACATGTGAAAGGGCCTGTGCATGGTGAGTGTTAATTATCCTCCTCTAACCTATGGCTCCAAAATCTGGGTGACCACAGAGTCTGACACGTCTGCATGCCTACAAAACCTGTATAGACTTCAGGACTTCAGGACTAACTGAAGGTCAGAAACATAAGTGGACGTTGTAGGATGCCAACCTCAAGTATCTTTGCAGGGGAAGGTCATACCTTGGCATTCAAAATTGTAGAGAGCGCCTGGGAAAGGCCCCTGAGCTGATTGTCATCTGAATCCAGTGGCATCTGGCAGAGCAATGCTGTGGAAACATACCGTGCCAGAGGCAGGTGTGTTGTCAGCCTGACCTTTAGCTCTGGCACCAGGGGTGGGTTTCATTATCTAAGTTCAGCCAGGCACCAAGAACGAACACAATTATCCAGGTCCAGCCAGAAGTGACCTTTATAAAGAAGCCACAAGAATGAAGAATTACAGCTTGATCTTTAACCATGATTTCACATAATTTCCTTTATCTTAAACTTTAGGAAAACTTCCTGGTATCATACTGTATAAAATAAACACGCTGCTCCAGCTCTGGGTCACTGTCTCTCCATCAGAGGGCCAGCTATCCCACCAGGCCCCAGGTTTTCCTTTCTGTCTCTGTGTCTGTCTCTTTCTTTCATTTTCTCAATCCCCAGCTGCCCCTACTCAAGATTTGTGGTTCGCTCTCTAGCTATGCTGGACATGGTAAAAGAGAGAATCTTTATACAGAATGGCAGATAGTTGAAATTGTTTGAGAACATGTTATGGGTGTGCTCATGAACTCCCTGTAATGACCAAGAGAGACAGAAGCAGGGTGGGATTTGGGGTGTGGATGACCAGCCAGTAAAAGAAGGTATCAAAGCTAATATGCCCTCATTCCAATGCACAGGCTGGTGAGGCCATGGGCCGCCGGGGTTATAAGATGTGCTAGACGGCAGGGACAAGCAGGCAGGGCAGACCATGGCAGAGGCTACGTGGGGTAATCGAGGTGGAAAAGTGAACAGAGAGCGCTGGGAGATGGAGCTTGTAGGGTCATCCCAGGCCATCGCTTTTGTCAGGGCTTCTTTTTTTTCTCTTTTTTTATTTTATTCTGGGCCATATTTTATTGATTTTTTACAGAGAGGAAGGGAGAGAGATAGAGAGTTAGAAACATCGATGAGAGAGAAACATCGACCAGCTGCCTCCTGCACATCCCCTACTGGGGATGTGCCCGAAACCCAGGTACATGCCCTTGACCGGAATCGAACCCGGGACCTTTCAGTCCGCAGGCCGACGCTCTATCCACTGAGCCAAACCGGTTCCGGCTGTCAGGGCTTCTTTGGGAGACCCAGGCTTATCCTCTGCCTCAGGAAAACTCTGAATCAAAGACCCCACCCACAGAGCCTATGTCCCAACTTATCCTAACACCTAATCACTTCCCAGCCCACGTCACTCAAAGCCCCACATCCCAAGGGCCAGAGTTACTCTCATCGTGTTAGGCATCCAGTCCTGCTACATGTCGGTGTATTGCCTTAGAATTGGGTATCTCCACAGTTGCTTCTGCTCCTACTCCTTCTGAGTCTTGCCCTATTAAAAGCTGCTACTATAGGCCTGTTATGTGCTAGAAGGTCATTTTTTTCTTCACCAAAATCATATTCCCAGAATGCTTGAGAAAATAGTATCATGCCCTTTGCCCTGTTTAGATACATGGACATGGAAGGAGGAAAGAAACTAGCTGGCAGACCTTGCCTCTGATCTATCCTGAGTGCCTTGTATTCATGGGCTCAGTACAGGGCACACAGTCCGTTCTGTTCATCCACAGAGGGTCCACTAGAAAGAATGTCTAAATGGGAAGAGTGACACAGTCTCAATAATGCCACAGGTAAAATTTATTTTGGACACAAGCTCTTTACAATCGGCCAATCCACCATTTTAGATCTTCATCTTCTGGGACTGCACGTCAAGGGATAGACACTTGCCAGGAATGGTGTGTGGAAAATGTTATGCCAAGCACTGGATCCATGATTCATGAGCAATCTTCTGGGGCTGGTCTCCAGGCATGCTTACACCCTCCATTTTTCCTCCACAGGGTCATCAACATCACCCTTTTAAAATATAAATTTGATCATGACATTTCCTCTGCTCAGAAACCTCCAGCAGTCTACCAAACTCTTTGTCAAGGCAGCTCATTCCTTTCTGGACCCTGGCTTGCATGATCCTCTACTGGGATGTTGCAACTTCTACTGACCACAATCTCAATCACTTTCCCATCTCCAGTGTAGGACCCACATTTCCCCATCATCTGTACTGCCCTTCCTTACTGTGGAAAACTGTATGCCTCCTTTAAACTCTCCCTTAAATGTTCTCTACTCTCTGACAATCTTCCCAACCCCCACTGATCCACCCACCAAGAAAACCAATAACTCTTCCCTGTGCTTCCACAACCTTGGTAGAAATCTGTACAAAACTGTGGTCACCCTGGGCTGTAATTATTTACATAGTTCTGTCTCCATGAACTAGTTGTGTTTCCTTTTTATCTCATCTTCAGCACAATGCCTGACTGACACAGGAGATACTCCATAATTGAGGTTCTCTTTGCTTTCCCTCTGCCTCCCAGGATCACCCATTTTCTAGGAAGAGTGAAGCCCCCTTGGTGGGGAAGGGGAGGAGGGTGACAAACCTTGGGTCAATAATGACCTATGTATCTAGGATCATGGTTACTTGTCTCAATTGAGAGCCCATCGGGGACAGAGACAGGGATAGGGCTTCTCTTTGAGGAGAGGGTCTTAGATAATGCAGCCAGGTGTCCTTCTGCCATTCACTTCCAGCCTCTTTCTCTCGGAGTTACCCAGACTTCTGTGCGCAGTGGACATGTGAACATCCATCGGCCCCAGGAAAGTCCACTGGGAAGTTGTTAACACCCTTGTCAGCTCTTGACTGATTTAGACTCACCACATGGATAGCACGTTGGCATTCCTGGCCACATCCATTGAAGCAGCATTTCATTCCCCTGGGACATGAGTCATCTCCTGTGCAGCTTTCAGCACAAACCCCACCGGTTTCTTTGGTCACCTTGGGGCAGAGTCCAGGTCTGTTTCCCCCTGAAACATACAATGGTGTGTGTGGAGTTTGGAATAGTCACTAACCAGGTATGAAAACTGCTGTTAGAGGTGGACAGGCTCAGTGCTGGCAGGACTGCCACCTCTTTCGTTTCTTCCTTTGTACTCCAGGACCCTCCCTCAGCCTCGGCAGCTCAGCCCTCACACTGAAGCCCCCATTTTCAGTCAGGCCCTTAGGAGAATGTTCTCCCTGCTGCAAAGGCTGCCCAGTCCCAGCAGGCAAGAAACCTGCTCTGTCATAAGCCTCTTCTTTCCTCCTTATAAGATATTAGAAACATCTCTGATCCCAGACATCCGTCTTCCCACCTCACACATACCCCATGTTCATCTCGGAGCTACTCTGTGTTGGAGCCCTACATCCAAGGCACATGTAGAGAGAACCCCAATTTTTAATAAGGCCCAACCTGATCTGATAAGAAGAATGGGGCCCTGGCTGGTTTGGCTCAGTTGATTGCAGCATCGCCCCATATTCTGAAGTTTGCAGGTTGAATCCCAACTTGGGGCATGTATTGTAGACAACCAATCAATTTTCTCTCCTCTCCTCTCCTCTCCTCTCCTCTCCTCTCCTCTCCTCTCCTCTCCTCTCCTCTCCTCTCCTCTCCTCTCCTCTTATCTCTCTCTCTTTCTCTCTCTCTCTCATCAATAAGCATATATTTGAGTGAGGATTTAAAAAAAAAGAAGAAGAATGGGAAACACAGGGTGATCACTCCTGAAGGTTAAAGAAAGTGGGTCTGATCAATGCCAAATCTCCACTCTACAGCCTGTTCCTGTGCTACACCATCCCAGGTAAGAAGCTGGGCTCTGAGCCTCCTCTACTCTCAGGTAGGACCCCCTCAGCACCCTTACCTCCAGGAGGACCTCTCTGAGCGAAGGCCATCTCCATCCCCAAGATGACAAAAGCCACTAGGACAAAGACTGTGCCTGTCTTCATGTTGGCCTTTGATGTGAATGCACACACTGAGCCCAGCCCCAATTTATACCCTCATTGACACCAGAGAGGAGTGTGGGGTGGGGAAGTAGAACAGGAAATGTACAACATGATCTAGTTAGTTTGTTTTATTTCATAACTGGTTTCTCTCTAATTAGGGTACGTTTTCTTATAGATGCAAATCCAAACAGGAGAGTTCATTGCTACATCACAACTTGGCACTGGTTTCTCTGGTGTCATTAGAAAAAGTGGCCAAAGAAAATAATTTTCTGTGTATAACTTAGAATTTCAGAGTAAGAGCTTAAACTATGCAGGTTGGTGTTATTCCACCTGGTGACTCCTGGAGGTCCTGTTCCAGGAGGATTCAATGTGCTTCTGGGAGAGATGGTGAACGGGTTGTGCTTTGGAGCCATCCAGGGCTGAGATCCCCAAGTAAAGGGTGGATAGAGGACCTCCCCTTCATCACAAAGTAGATTGTAAGGTCGCTCATCTGAGGAGATGAATGTTCAAAGACCACAAGATGGCAGGGCATGGGGGATGGAGAGACAGGGTCCACTCTTGATGGCGGGTGGTCTCTGAGCCTACCCTGCTCCATACTGAGAGGTCCCTAGAGAGAGGCCTGTGTGGGTGAGCTACAATGAGCTGAACTACAGGAAAAGACTGTTACAGAATTTCAGAGAAGAGGGTGTAAAGGTAAAAGTCCAATGACTATAGGAATGAAGAGAAGCCTGCTTTGTTTTTGGGGGTCAGATCTGGGACAGGCACCTCATAAGGATCTGTGGGGAGGCCAGGATGAGGTACCCTAAGATCACAGGAACACTAAGTGAGCCAAGAGAGGAGTGCTCAGACTGGCCATCCCAGGTAGTTAGCTCACACCCAGCATCTCAGACTCTTTGGATGCTCAAAGGGTACAGCACCCAGGACCCCTCCATCTGAAGGAGGGACCAGGGTATCTGAAGAAGACGTGGCAGCTCGGTACAGGGTGAAGATCAATTGCTCAAGGCAGCACAGAGCACAACAAAGAGCAAGTCCAAATGCAAATCCGAGGTGTCTGGCCAGATGCCAGACTGCTCAGTAGCATGGCCTTGGTGAGTGTGTGGGGCCAAGGTGGACAGCCCCAAAGAACTTGCAGGAGAACCCTACAGAGCACTCTTGGTAAGGGGAGGACTCCCTAAACCCTCCCTAAAAGTGACTTAGACACAACTATCACTTAATTAACATCATCTTTAAAAAATTTTTCTCATGTGTTTTGTATGTATTTTTCTAAGTACCTTCCTATAATTTGCATACACACATGTATATGCAAATATGTATCTTTGCTGCAGAAATGAACTTATACTGTATGTATTGTTTTGCTTTATTCAATTAACATTATGTCTTTTTTAAATATATTTTTTATTGCCTGAGGAAGGGAGAGGGAGAGATAGACTGATACATCAATGATGAGAGAGAATCATGGATCAGCTGCCTCATGCATGCCCCTTACGGGGGATTGAGCTCACAACTTGGGCATGCTCTCTTTCTGGGAATCGAACCGTGACCTCCTGGTTCATAGGTTGATCCTCAACCACTGAGCCACGCTGGGTGGGCTTAACATTATGTCTTGGAGAGATTCCATGCTAGTATCCCCCCTTTTGAAACAACTGCTATCTAATATTCTATTATATAAGTGATTCATAATTTACTTAAACATATTTCAATTACTGATTATTTAGGTGGTCTCTGTATCATTAACAATTTGCTGTTATATGCATGATACACTTTGTATATGCTTCTTTGTTTATATATGTCAGTATTTTCCCCTGAATAGATGCCTAAACATGGAAATTCAAAGGATATGTTTACTGTAGAGTTGGAAGATATTGCCAAATTGTCCTCCAAAAGGTTGCACCCGTTTACACTTGCTCCCGTTTACACTGGGCCCATCATATTCATTTTTAAGCCTATAGTTCAGTCGTATTAAACACACTCATATTGTTGTGTAGCCATCACCACAGTCCATCCCATAACTCTTTTCATCTTGTAAATCTGAAACCCTATACCTTTTAAACAATAACTCCCCATTCTCTCCTCTCTACCAGCTCCTGGCAACCACCTTTATACTTTCTGTCTCTATGATTTGACTACTCTAAGTACTTCATATAAGTGGAACCACATAATACTTGTCTTTTTGAGACTGGCTCATTTCAGTTAACATGATGTCCTTAAGGTTCACCCATGTTGTGGCATACTGGAGAATTTTTTTTAAACTATTTTATTTTATTTTATTTTTTTTTTTGCTGTAACATTTTATTTATTTATTAATTATTCAAAAAATTTTTTTTATTGATTAAGTTATTACATATGTGTCCTTATCCCCACATTACCCCCAAAACAGATCCAGAGACAGAAAATCATCTATCAGATCAACACACCTCAAAGGGAAGGTAGGGGAGGGAGGGGTAAGGGGGAGAGATGAACCAAAGGACTTATATGCAAGCATATAGGCCTAACCAATGGACATAGACAACAGGTGAGTGAGGGCATGAGTGAGGAGTATGGTGACAGCTGGGTTCTGAAAATATCAGCGGAAACACTTTGTCAAGTATATGATTGTCCAAGCACTATGCTGTGCACTTGAACCCAATGTACAATAATACTGAAAGTAAAGTGTAATTGTAAAATCCTATACTAATAAAGACGAACATGCAAATTGACCATACTTTCACTACACCTTAAGCCACGCCCACCAGCCAATCAGAGCACCTATATCCAAATTAACCCAACCAAGATGGTGGCCGGCAGCCACGGAGCTGGAGCAAGCAGGAGGCTGGCTTGCTCTAGTGATGGAGGAAGCCAGCCTGCCGACAGCTCTGAGCTCCACTCAAAAGCAACAAAATTTCTATTATAGAAGGTAAATAAACCCCAGATACCTGCTTTCAGTCAGTGGTGGCCACGGAGCTGGAGCAAGCAGGAGCCGGCTCTGAGCTCCACTGAAAGCAACAAAGTTTCAATTATAGAAGGTAAACAAACCCCAGATATCTGCTTTCAGCCAGTTGTGGTCATGGAGTTGGAGCAAGCAGGAGTGGGTTGCCCCTGGAAATGGAGGAACCCAACCTTTCCGCCGGCCTCTGCTAAGGGCAACAAAGTTTCAATTATAGAAGGTAAATAAATCCCAGAATAAAAAAAAGAAAAGAAAAAAAGGAGAGGCTGGGAGCTTATGTCGCCAAGGTGCTTGGCCAGCCTGAAAACAGCCCTCAGCCCCTCACCCAGACTGGCCAGGCACCCCAGTGGGGACCCCCCACCCCAAACAGGGTGTGGCCAGCCTGAAAACAGCCATTAGCCCCACACCCAGGCTGTCCAAACCTCCATGGGGTGAGGGTCCCCACTGGGGTAGACATCCTCTGAGGGGTCCCACACTGCAAGAGGGCATAGGCCAGGCTGAAGGACCGCCCAAGTGCACAAATTTTTGTGCACCGGGCCTCTAGTTAAAAATAAGTAAATTGAAATTTTAAAAAGACTTACCTATTTGAATCATGGGGGAGCAGACATGACCATAGCCCTCCCTGATGCACTGTTCTCCTTGCCCACAGTCCCTGCCTGCTCTGCATTGGGGCTCACAGATGCCTGAGGAGAGGAAAGACTAGCTAAAAGCTTTTAAGTCTTACACTTGAAGGATAAAATTTTCAATGCCTTTACAATATCACCCAAAAACCCATCAATTACCTAAGTATAAATCTAACAAATTATATTCAGAAAACTACATAATATTACTAAGAAAAAATTGGAAAGATCTTAATAAACGGAGTCATATACCATCTTCATGGATTAGAAGATTCACGATCATGAAGATATGAGTTTTCCTGAAATTGAATGTAATTCCAATGAAAATCTTAGAAGCATTTTTAAATGAAAATTCATAAACTAATACTAAAACTTATATGAAAGTCTTAAAAATCAAGAATAATCAAGACAATTTTTCCTTTTTTTTCCACAGTAACAGTTGACATACAATATTATATTAGTTTCAGATGTACAACATCGTGATTAGACATTTATATAACTTTTAAAGTGTTCACCCTGAATCAAGACAATCTAGAACAATGTTGTTGGGGTAAGGGCTAGGTAAGGGGTGGAAGAAAATGATGAAATTAGCTAATTTTATTATGACTATTACTCATAGTAGTTCACTTATAGATAATCATCCACAAAAAAAGAAGGGAGCAAAGGAAATACTTAAAGGTGTTAGTATAAGATAACTATTACAACAAAAATATAAACCTTTCTAAATGCAAAACATATAGTAAGAGAGAGAGAAAGGGAGACAGATTACACCACTAATATAGGTTACACAGTGAAAGATCATCTAGCTAATAAAGAGGAAATAAAACTATAACAGTAAAAAGGTATGATGTCACCCAATTAAAAGGAATTCTTATCTTTTAGAGATACATACAGAAATAATCTATAATAATAAAAGTGTAATATGCTAATTAGACCGGATAATCCTTCCTGGTGACCTTCTGGATGATCTTCCGGACAAAGCCGAGACTTTGAGGGAAGTCTGGGTTCCAGATGTCAGAGGGAAGCCAGTGCCGGCAGCCGGGGGAAGGAAGGCATACTCTTGCAGGAATTTTGTGCATCAGGCCTCTAGTATGTAATAAAACAATGTCCGGAATTTTCTTCAAAATAGCATGAGATGAGGGGAAATGAATGGGATTATAAAAGAAAAATGATTACACATTAACAGTGGTTGAAGCTGGGTGATGGGTATGTGGTATATCATTATACTATTCTGTCTGCTTTGTATGTGTTTACATTTTCCCATAATAAAAAGTTTAAAACTAAACTATTTATCCTTACAAAAGCTTTATTAATTAATCTTGGATTAAAATAGAATGTGTCAAATTTCTCCCAGGTCCTGTAAGGACTGAGCCCCAGAATGTATATCTCAGTGAGAAAGTCCTCGTGAAATAAAATAGCACATTTCCCAACTCCATAGCCAACATTCCCATTCTGATCTACTCACAGTTTCCACACAGCCTGTCCATACAGCTCGTGCTGCACCTATGCTCACACACTGAGATTTGGTTAAAT